ACTTTTAATGAAATCTAGTGCAGGGTTGCTTCTCACTTAAGACCGTAATAGACGCTTCAATTAGCTGCACAAATTTAACTGCGCTCCGTTCGGTTGGGCTGTATATTTAGTAAATTGATTTTCTTGGGCAGTTGATTGAGCAAAAATGAAAAATTTCGCTTTTGACACAAACTCAAATAATATATCTGTGTTGGTATGGAATAGTAGCTTGTGTCGGGAAGCTGGCTTTAGTATAATGCGGCATTACGTTTATTTTTTAAACGACAAGGAATTTTTCGGTGGGACTTAATAAGTATATTGATTTGCTAGTATCGGAACTATTTCTGGCACATTTATTTGCCAAAAGTTCTTCAACAGCTCAGCGCCAGTGAGTCCTACGCAATCGTATGCTGCGAATGCCGCAGTATACTAAAGCCAGCCATTCGACATAAGCTACTATTCCATACGAACACAGATATATTGTTGGAGTTTGTGTCAAAAGCAAAATTTGTGATATATACATACCCGCCGGACTTTACTAATATACCTGAATTAAATTTACCTCACTACTACCCTACCCTAGTTCTACGTTCACAATATACTTACTCTAGATTTAAGAAGACCCCCTGTTATTAAGCATACTTACCTTTTTTTTGTTAGATGTTAGGACTTAGTATTAGGATGATTAGCTTTAAGAAATAGATGTAAGAAAATGAATTTAGAATAAATTGTAGTTATAAAATGGGAATGTTGACCCTTTCATTTAGTTAGGACGGCAAGCAGGAACTTTTATAATGGCTTATTTTTTTTATTGAACTTTTTTCATTTTTTGTTGATTTTCAGTTTATTTAAAGCATTTAATGTAACGCTTTTCCCAGTTTTTTTTGGTATCTGGCTTTTTTTTTAGTTTTTTTGTCCGTTCGTGAAGACGTTTGACAGGCATGACTGTTTCTCTGCTACGGCGCGGGGAACAGTAGTGAATGAAAGAATCCCGGCAGCCGACATGACTAGCCATAGTGCACCCCATTGTGTCATGCCGACTGCATGCACTGCTGCTCCCACAGTATGTGTACCATAACAAATCCACACACAAAACACAAATTTACTCTTCTTCTCCAGAACGAAAAAGTTTAAAATTTTTCCTATTTTCAAGATTCGCCTAAGCAGCTAATTAAATGATATAAAATGAAAAAAAAATTAACCAGGAAACAATATAAATTAGAATGAGATATGATTGTATATATTTATTCTAAGATTTCCTGAAATTTATTTCGTTCTCCCGAATCTTTACGTGAAATCTTGATTATATGAATATAAGTATATATGTATATACATACAGTGGTGGTCAAAAGTGGATGAATGGCGTTTCCTTTTCAATATTTACAATAAATTTTTTTTTTGATATTTTTTATTTTATAAAAATATGGTTCACTTTCAAACCTAATAAAGAATTTAGAAAACTTCCACAAATTTTTATTCAAACTTCGAGCTTTTTAACCAGAATTTTTATAATTTGTTTGGGTATGCAGTTAACAGGCTAATAAAATCTTAGTAAAATAAGTGCAAGTTTTGAGCGGCTAAAAGATCGCGTTGATTTTTAATATTATTTGTTTTTTTTTGTTGACGGCGTTTTGCACTGTTTTCCTATAAACAGGAATTAGGTACTTGTGAAAGAATATGCGGAAGGCCGTTTGCAAAAAAAAATAAAACAGTCACCACCAGCTTTCCTAAATTTCGCTATTTATATGAAAAAACCGCCAAATCCGTCAGCAAAAAAAAAAAAATAATTACGATTTTTAGCCGCTCCAAATTTGCATTTCTTTTACTAAAGTTTTATACGCCTGTTATCTGCATACCCAAAAAATTAATAAAATTTTTTTATAAATTCTGTATAAAGTTTGAAAATGTGTGTTGTGGCTACAAGTTACTTTTAGAAAATAGCTATGTATAATTTAAATGTTGCGATATGAATACCCTAATTACCGCAGGTAAATGAAAAAGACTCAAAATATTAAGAAAATTACTCCAGTTAGAGTAAACGTGTTTATTTGTTCGCCGTCGTAATCCAAGTGAAAGAGTCAAACTTAAGCGATATAGCAAATGCATAAAGTGTCGCTAAGAAGGACAGCGTAAGAAGGAAATGATGAGAACATTAGTTTTAGTTCGCTCTTTGCGATGTTTTGCTGTTTTATGAATATGCTTGTCAATATAATGATAATTCATAGTTTGCATGTGCAATAAAATATTAAAGTTAAAATTTAAGTTTATTTAATTCCAATATTTTGGTTACATATAATACGGGAACATTCTCCCCACCAAGAACAACTATTCTTAATCTGGGTAGACACAAGAGGAAGGACGTCCTATAGTTGGGAGTGTTCTAGTCGAGTTTTTTACTCCGATATGCTCCGACTCACAGCGTCTTCAGCCTCGGGTTCCATCACCTCGCCCCTTAGTCCAATAAGCTGAGGATCATGGTGTTCAGAACTATCCATTGTTTCATCTAGGGGTAAAAAACAAATTTTTGAAATAGGTCTTTTTATAAATTTGTGTTTAGTAAACTGACACTACGCGCACTCGCCCATTCTTTCTGGGATTCACTTCCTAAATACGCCCAAAGCACGTCTGCTACAAGAACTAGGTCGTTAATTTTTGCATCGACTTGGGGATGAAGGCACTTAGGACGAGCTTGCAAACGATTGAGGTACTCGTTGTACCAGTGTTTCCAAAAATGCTGCTTGATTTTTTCAATTGCTTTCCATCGGCATATTCGATTGATGTTAACCTCCAGAAGGGTTTCTTCTTGCACGCAGCTGATGGGTTCGCATATCAAGAAATCTCCGGGGGTCAATCCGCTGACATCTCGTGGATCAAATGATAAAGGGCAAAGTGGCCTAGAGTTTAGGCATCCTTCAATCTGTGAAAGCAAAGTGGTTAATTCTTCGAAACTTAAAGTTCGGTCATGCACATCGCGTTTTAGATGGTGCTTCATGAGCTTAAATCCTGCTTCCCACAGACCACCAAAATTTGGGGAAGCAGGTGGGATAAAGTGCCAATCAGTTCCAGAACTTGAAAAACTTTCACGTAAATTTTTTGGCATTGAAAGTTGACTTCGGTATAGCAAGACTTTTAATTCCTTTGATGCACCTACAAAATTTGTGCCGCAGTCGGAATACAAATCAGTACACGCCCCTCGTCTGACAACAAAGCGGCGAAAGGCTGCTAAGAAAGAGCTTGTTGTTAAATCCAACACTGCTTCTAGGTGTATGGCTTTGGTGCTCATGCATACAAAGAGACAGACATAGCCTTTTGTGATAGCAGCGCTTCTTTATGTTGAATTGTTTATGAGTATAGCTCCAGCGTAATCAACACCACTATGTTTGAAAGGCCTAGTTAAATTTAGGCGAACAGAGGGGAGATCACCCATCTCTTGTTGAGATGCTTTGGCAGCATAACGGAAACAAGTTATACACCTGCTTATAATAGTTTTAGCTTGACCGACTCCAGACAAAGGGCCTGTTCGAGGCACGTAATAAAAGCGGCATTTCTGCCGTACTGATGAAAAATGGCAACATTGTTGCAACTGTCCAACTGAAAACACATTGCTGGAAATTCACACAGACCGTGATACTTTAATTATTCGCGCAACACTGCGGTTGTGATTGCAACTCGAACAAGCCCAAAATCCAAATTTCGCGACCGACATAAGACATAGCTAAAGTGATTTCACCATGTAAAGTACGCTCATGTGCGTCTAAGATTATAAGCTTAGATAAAGGATTCGATTTGGTTAGAACCGCCGGAAATTTCATGTCAGGGGGTAAATTAGAGCGGAGGATACCCTTCTCATCAATGAAAGGTGATAATTTAAGTAAAGGTTTTTCTTTCGTTTCTTTTTGACTGCGCAATTCAGAAATGATGTGGGTGAAGTCAATTTGCTGAGTCAATTTTATGAGACAAATTTTGGTTTCGAGAATTTCTCTGGCAGTCAAAATTCCAAGATGGCCCTATGCTACGCCTACAATTCTTAAAGAATCGAAAACAAAAAGAGATAACACGCAATAACTTTTTCAGCGTGGAGAATCTAACCAAAAATTCAGGATATTGAGCGCCTGTCATGTGGCTAACCACTTTAATTTTTCGCTCTTCTAAGGTTGATTGAAGGTTGCTAGGAAGTTTTGGCCATTGATTTTCGGATTGGGTAAGAAACTTAGGACCTCGCCAACAGATTTCTTTAGCTTTTAGTTCTTCTGGAAGCAAGCCTCTCGATGCGCAATCGGCCGGGGTTTCAGCCGATGCACATTAGGTCAAATGATTCATTTGGCTGAGCGAAAGTCCAATTTCATAAAGGCAGTTTTACATTATTTTTTGTTGCCATTCGGTAGGGAATACTCCAAAATAACAGAAACTTCACTTAGTTTTTGTAAAATAAAAAACACCGTTAGACAGCAATAAACCAAAGTTACACTTTCAGAACGTTATTGATACGTTGTTTGCGCAACCAGTTTATTTTGTAAGTTTCAAGAGCATTTTTTTTTTTAAGTTCGAATAATTAAAGAAAAATTTTAAAAATAAAACAAAACTATAAGTGAGAACCTATGCCCCAATTTAAAAAAAGTGACTTTTTATCATTTGTTTGCAAAAAACTGACTTATTTGCATAACTGATTTATTTCCATTTACGATTTTATGTAAGCTTTTACAATTTTGTTAACTTTCGGCAAACGAAATGGAAACGGAAATGGATAAATTAAGATGTAATGAGTTGATTTTATTTTACTTAGCCCGCCGTTTTTAGCCGTTTTCAAGAAAAAGTTTTTTTCTGAGCTATCATGCTATCCCAAAAGGCAAGTTGTTTGAAGTTTGGCTGATTGGATGTTCGAAAAAAAGCCTTTTTCGGTTGTCAACTATTTTGAAAAAAATTTGGTACTGCTGATATTTACGAATGTTCCATGAAACTCTTAGAAGAAAATACGCGTATTTTTTGCAATCTAAGAAAGATGAAAATTATGGAAAACAATTTGGAAAGGATGCTAAAATATTTAGATCTGTAAACATAGCGTTTCTTGCTGATGAAGTTCTTTTCGAAATAAAAAAGTGACTGTGTCGACCATCAGCCGAATTCTAACTTTCGCTATCGCTAAAATGGTAAAATAGGAAAGCTAAAATTTTCCCGAATTTTCAGCTATCTCCAAAAATATCTCCTAAATTTTTTGGTGATAAATAATCAATTTTAATGATGATAAATAGTGAAGATGGAAGTATGTGATAGCAAAAAAAAATAGCAGACTCAATTTGGATTACATTTCATCTACTGTAGCGTAGCCGTGGCTATGTTGCAAATACACTTGCGTCGATTCGCAAAGACCATTGATGAGCAGCCTTCGCAAAAAGGGCAAATCCTTGAGAGAATTTACGGAATTGGGGGAATTTGGGAATACTGAAACCTCAAGTGAAAATTAAGTGCTTTATGGAGAGTACCTGCTTTAGGAACCTCTCCTCAAGACATATCTGCGAGGCATGTAGTAAATATTTTTCTTTTTTTAATTTAGGAATTTCGATAATGCCATAATTAATCGCTAGAAGAAACCACTTATGTACATGTGACCATACTTATTTTGTTGTGTAGCTAATTTTAAGAGGGGGAGGGGGTGCGGGGGTGGGGTTGGAGTATGGCAAGAAAATAACTTGTGTCAAAACCAAGCTAATTGGACAATGTTTTTGAGCAATATTTTAGCTGCTATTAATTTCGCACAGAAAAAGTAATCATTTGACCTAATGTGCGATGGAACATATCGCCATTGGACAATATTTGAATGGCGCTGAATTTCGCCTACGCGATTTGCTACGTAGACACTCCAATATGATGGAGACTGCCTAATCCAACTCACCACTGTTGTGCTGTCACTACAGTACGTTGCTGACTGAATACAATTTGGAGAATTTTGAGTAAAAGACTCTATCACATTGGCTGTGAGTTGGACTAAAAGAGCAGCTGCACATAAATAGCTCCAATCTGGGTATGGATACAGTTTTGATGGGTGCTACCTTTGACTTGGCTTGAAGAAAAGAGACTACGAAAATGCGTGCGTATACTACTGCGGCATAAGCGACTTGTGAAGCGTCGCAAAAGCAATGCAAATCAAAGGTACAGCTGGGCGAATAACCTATCCATCTAGGGATTTGTATGTCATGAAACGCAGTTAAAGTTGATTTGTATTCGTACCATACTGATTCAATATCAGTGGGGACTTCTTCCTGCCAGTCCACACCACCAAGCCATAATTTTTGAAAAAGTAATTTGGCAACTATAGTCGCAGGGGTGAGCCCTCCTAAATGGTCGAAGGGACGTGCACTGTCCGCTCGAGTGTTTTGTTGGCTTGGAGTCAGACTTGAAGCTAGTTTTAAAAGCGAACTAATCGAAAGTGGTGTTCCACTGAACACCGAGCGCTTTAACTACATTATCTCGATTAAGATCAAAAGTGGCGGAACTATTCTTAAACTTATCCAATTTTTAAGTACGAACTGACCTTTATTAAGAAGAGCAGCACATAAATCTTTTTGCAATGAGACTGTTCCGGCTAAAATTTCCTGACATAACATCATCGACGTACGTGTCTGCGTCTAACACAGCTGACGCTAGTTCATACTCGTTCCTATAATCTTCAGAAAGTTGACGCAAAACTTGAATTGAGAGATAAGGAGCCGGAGTCGTACCATAAGTCACTTTTGTTATAGCGCCATAAAATTTGCTGGTATATCCGCTGAGCGGGATTGACCTCAATTTGGCGAAACATCTTTTCAATGTCTGCGGTAAAGGCATACCGATGCTTTCGCCAACGTAACAAAATTCGAAACAAATTATTTTGAAGAACAAGCCCTAAGAATAATTCTTCATTTAGTGATGTCTTATCTTTTGACTTACTAATAATAATAATAATAGATTGGCGCTTACACATATGTTAGTGTTTGGCCGAGCTTCTGCTCCGACTTGTGGCGTGCGCCTCGATGTTGTCACACAAAGCGGAGGGACGTACAGTTTTACGCCGACTCCAAACGGCGATTGTATTTTTATGAGAAGCTGTTTTTCATGGCAGAAATACACTCGGAGGTTTGCCATTGCCTGCCGAGGGACGACCGCTGTTAAGAAAAAACCTTTTTCTATATTTTTTGCGATGTTGCTTTGACCAGGGCTTGAACCCATGATGAGTGAAAGCGCGCACTGCTTACCACTACACCACAGCGGCCGACTTTTGACTTACTACTTGCCGTCAAAAACAACTCGTAATTTAAGTGGTAGAGCTACTCTCACGCACAACTCCATGGTGGGGCAGAAAATAAGAATTGGGCGAAATATCTGCTATGTATACGCCTACTCTAGCCATGTGCTGCAAACTTTCATATTCTTGCATGAATGCAGTGTATTGCTAGCGGTACAAAGGGCGTCTAACAAACAGGGACGGTAATCATTATGAGCAAAATAATTTAAATCAGCATTTAATTATTATTTTATGATTTTTATATTTTTCGCTCAAAAATAATAATTATTATTGATTTTTAGTGTTTCCCTCAAGGGAAATGATTTTTATTTTTTCGATCACAAATAATGATTATTTGATGATTTTTATTTTTTCGCTCAGAGATAATAAATGTTATTGAGTGTTATTTTTCCACTTAAAAATAATGATTATTTATAAAATTGAAAAGGCCATACAGACGCAACTTACTGACATTCGGACCTGAAACATATTCCTTTTATTAGGGTGTCGCTACCTCTAAAAAGGATACGAGAGAAATCGCGCCGGTATATCTTGTGCTTTTTTTTTTGAATGATAATTTTTCTTAAGTGAAAATATAAAACTCAATAATTATCTTTGAGCGAAAAAAATAAAAATCGTAGAATAATCATTATTCTTGATCGAAAAAATAAAAATCAAGTAATAATAATTACCTTTGAGCGAAAAATTAAAACTCAAATATTAATTATTATTTTTAATCTTTATTGATTAAACTCGAAAAATATAAATCATTGCAAATTACAGTAGGGCGTACGAACACAAATACGTGAGAATAGTTAAAACTGTTTTATGACGATTACAACTTTTTATTTTTTTTTGTTAAAATTTAAAAAATTATGATTATTCTCCGTACCTGCTAATAAATGCTTGTTCTAATTGCTTAAGACGTTTCAAGGCATTGAAATGGTTATTTTTTATTGTTGGCGTAGTGTCAGAATTCAGCATTGACTTAAATGGTAGATCCACTATTTACCGTCCAGACTCACTACGTTGTGTTGTGGTCAAAAAAAATAATAATTCGCATGTTTCGTGTTCCGCGGTCAGATCCGTTTTCTTAGGCAGCTCTCCCTGCTCCCAAAAGGACAGTAACAGGCTTTCCAAATTTATATTATTTACTGTAACTCTGTGACCTAAATTCGGGGTTGGTCCAGAGATAGCCCAGCCAAAAACAGTCCTTTGAAAGAATAAATTTTCATGTAAAAATGATTTGCCTGGGACTACAATTTGACTGAAACCTTCTGCTCCAAGAATGAGGTCAATTTTGTCATCCTTGTAGAAAGCGGGAACGGCAAATGTATCAATTTGTAAATTTCCAAGATTTCTTAAAACGCTTGTTGCCTTTGGCTTAAAAGATTATAAGCGCTGCATAACGGGCGAGTAACACCTTAGTATATACTCATTTTGTACTGACCAAAGATCGATTGAAACTGCACTGCGGTAGAAGTTATGGCTGTTACTTATGCCGGTAATTTCACAGTAGGTTTTAGCCTAGCTAAGTTAAATATTTGAGACGCGTTCTCGGAAATAAGGGTTGCTTGCGAACCCTGGTCAAGGAGTGCTCTGAGCTCAATCCCTGCCGTTGGTGATTTGACGAGAAGTCGTATGGTGTACAGCAGAACGTTGCGAAACATAGCCGCGTTGTTGGCAGAGGCTGTGAGAGATAACGTTGAGCTCTCAGTACAAGCATTAGCAGAGCTTACTCGACCGCTACCCTGGGATGTATTATCATGAACTGTATGTTAAACAGTATGATGAGCCCTTTTAGAAACATTGCATTTGTAAGTCGATTTGCATTCACGTGAGTGATGGCCACTCACACGGCAATTGAAGCAAATAAGTTTAGATATTAAGAAATCAGCTTTATTCTTATAAGGTAGTGCTAGTGTAGTGATCACACACACCAAATGCAATAGAAGCGGCAACTTACAAATGCACAACCAAAACAATATGAGCACAGCGACCTAGATATGCTTTTGAGGGCAATGCTGACCAGGCAAATTTTATTAATATTTAGCGCTGCCGTTTGCAAGCAGATTATTTCAATTATGCTCGCTGCTTCCGCCGCATATTTTGATTGGTTACTTCTCGATGACTCACAGGTGGAATAGTTCGGCAACGTACTCAGCCCTGCCAGCTGCCTCATCATTGAATGCTGGCGATCCTGCCAAACTTATTAAAAATCTTGCGGAAACTGATTAATATCCTGCACAACCGATTCATTGTTGATCGCAGATAGAACTTTTAAATTTGATTCGTTTTTACATTATTGATACGAAAAAAGTAAAAATAAATAAATGACTGACTCATATCAGACCGTCAGAAAGGCTGAGTTTGATCGGATTTTTGCAAAATATAGCAAATTATTGAAAGAGGAACATTCCTGAAGGTTCCACAACTACAGGACCATCCTGCCAGTTTGATTAAGATCCTGCCAAAGACATGGCAATAAGCTTAATAAATATACATTTTTAAATGTTGCATAGAGTTTAACAACATGGCGTGGTGGAAATAAATTTTTAGCGCCATCATGATAGCCATCACAGGGTTCGAAGTTGGCAAAGATGCAAATACAGACAAAACGGTTATAACATACGAATCACCAAGTATGCACAAACCCGAACTCAATGATAAAGATACTGAATTCTATGCAGTCGGCTTCATAGCACTTTTTATAATTCTAATATTTGTAGCCATATTCATGGTGTTTTGTTTTGTGTTAAACTGGCATCTCTGATCAGCTAAGAAAAAATGGAAAGTGGAGCAGAAAAACATAAGGTGGGCGCAATTTAAAAGATTTTTAAATATATATCTGACTATATGTTTTATTGACAATTCGAAACATATGTGCGAAGGGTTGCTCACAGTTCGAGTGTGTTATCTTGCTAAAGTTGCCACCTTTTAACTTTAAAAGAAAACTGTGAATACCCTAATTATATTATAATTTATTGCATTCATGTTAGTAAGAGTCAAAACGGTAATAAAACCAGCTTGTGGTTAGGCGAAAATTAAATATGGCAAACATGTCTATAAATCTTGTTGATGTAATACAAAATATAATATTAAGGGTTCAGTTTATTAGTAAAATTATTTATATATTTCTTAGTTATAAATACAAAACAAACAAAAAACATAATTCAATAAATCTATGCATACAAATATACACCAAGAATAAAAACAGAAAAACATAAAATAAGAAAATCAATACTTAATTTTAAACAAGGAGTCAGTTCAAAGCGAAAAAAAAATGTCTGAGTTTAGTTTCGAAACAGCTATAAAAGCTATTCCAATTTTTTCCGGAAATCATAAAGACTTGGAAGCATTTCTAAAAATTATCGAAATAATTTATAACGGTCTAACTGAAAGAGGTAAATTAGCACTGATAGATTTTGTAGTTTACGTGAAACTAAAAGTATAAACAGACGGCAGCGATTATCCGGATCAACTCGGGAATTAACTGCTGTTGATCCGGATTATGTCCGAGTTAATCCGGATAAACGTTGCCATCTGTTTAAGCTTTAAGTCAAACGGTGAAGACAAACGTGACTTCAATAGAAACATTTCAAACATTTGAGGAATTAACTAATAAATATAAAAGCTCAACAACTATTCCACACATACAAAACCAACTTGCCAATCTTACATGTCACTAACTTCAAAAACAAAATTTTACATCTTATATCTGAATTGGACACATTGCAAATAGGACAGCGAGGTAAAAATGCAACAACTGAGCAAAAATCATTAATCACTAAACTACATAAATGATCAATGCAGTCTACCAATATTAAAAAACGGACTAAATGACAAACTCAAACAAACAGTATTTGCAGCACTAAAATCTTTTACCGCTACTGAAATCGCACTAGAGATAGAACAAGGAAATCAACACGACACACAGTGCCGTTTAAGTGGGCATAAATCGAAAAATTCGTTATCTGCAAATTGAACTTGTTTGGTACTTTTGCGAAGACAATTTATCCACTAAAAAGAATTAAATAAAAATTTGCCTAAATTAATTACATGCCGCCAGGAAGCCACTGAAGTCGACAAATTTTATACTAAGAAGTTTAGTAAAAATATAGCCAGGCGTAAGCTCTTCACAGAAAATATGTCAAAAATATATTCGTTGAAATAAAATGGTGGTTTTACGTTTCTTGCTTCCATATAGATAGTACAGAATTACAGGAATTAAAATTTTGGAATGAAATTAAACACAGGGTGTACCTGCGGTATTCCAAAACAACAACAAACAATTTTTTTTAACAAAATTTCAAAAAATGCTAAATTTTAATGGAATGGATAAAAAATAAGTAAAAATATGTTATTTTTTATTATCTTATTAAATAGTACGGGCTTTTAGCTTTCAGAAGAAGAAATAAAAACCTGCTCATTTTTTGCACTTTCTGAAGTAATGCGTTTTTCGCTAACGCATAAAATAATTTTTTTCATTTTTTGTCAGTGCCTTGAGATCTGCACGATTCGTTCCATTTTCTAAAATGAAGTGTCAGATGAAAAAGCTTAACCTGTGGAAAATAGGTTTATTTTTTTAAGAGTTGCCACCTGTTAAAAAATTAGATTGATAAAAAATTGGATTCAAGTTAAATTAGATATAAGTTAAATGAATTATTAAGAGATGGGTATCAATCGAAATGTGTATTAACAACATGTAGAGAGTTGCCACCTGTTTAAAAAATAAAATTCTAATTGAATTAACGGAATTAGGTAATTGAAATAGATAAGTATCACCATAAGGGAGTCAGACGAAAGAGGTTTAAGAGGTTTTAGCTTAAAAATATTACGAATAGGGTTGCCACCTGTTTGTAAAGTCGAATTTAGTTAAACTAAAATAATAATTACGTCAAACCATAGGATTACGCCATCGTATATGTTGTTTTATTACAAATACAAACACTGTCAATCAGTGATTTGTTCTGATTACATTTTTTTTAATTATTGCACTCTTAAATTAACTCACGAATGTTTTTACTCTCCACTTATTTCTTGCTGAATATGTCAAATTTTTTATTTGTCTGATACTCATATTGATATACATATTTCAGTTACCTTATTCCCTTAATTAAAGTGAATTTGATTTTTTAAACATGTGGTAACCCTTCTACGTGTCATTTAGAGGTAAAGTATTTTCAAAATTAGTTCAACTGATATCGATATCATAATATCTAATTCATTTAATTTATTAAAAAATTTTAACAAACCCCTAACCCTTTTCAAAAATAAAAAAATTTATTGCACATCTACAGGCCAAGCCCTGTCACTTGAAACTTCACTTTTGAAATTAGAAAGAACTATATGTACATACCTATGTAAAAGCCACAAGAACCCAAATTTTCAACTTCAAACTGCATTTACAGTGAAAGTATTAAAGTTATCCAAAAACCAATTGCATTTTTGAATTTAGCGTCCTCAATTTTACTAAGAAGCGAATCCATAATTCTATTTTTGCCCACATTTTATATGGAAAGGAAGCACTGTGCGATAGCAGACGTTATGTTTATCAGAAACAATTACAGAAACAAACCACTATATGAATAAACATGAATTTAGAATACTGTGTTAATCTGTATGCATTAAGAAATGAAATAAATGAAATGAAAAAAATGAAAAAAAAAAAATCCCAATAACTCATACAGGCGAAATACGAACAGCTATTTTAACGGCCAATCTAGTAACAGGTGCAATAACAGTAATACCTATAGCGATAACAGAAGACCGCACAATAATACAAGAAACATTTCTAACCAGAGACAAAGCAATAACTACCATAATGCGAATTGGAGCTAAAAAAATTCAAGAGCTAAGAACCATAGCAATGATCAGAGAAATTATTCCAATGAAAGACAGACTAATAACTATGATAGGAACAATTAAAGATCCCTCCCCAGAAATCGGGAAAGAAATGGCCGCCAAATGAAGGTTGTCGAATTTCAGGGAAATGTAGGCGACCTGGAGGACCACAATGGCACTTCTCCGGGGGACAGGGACATGTAAACAAAACTAAATCTAAATGTATTTATATAATAAGCCAATGACAATTCTTATATTATTTTATGTTTGTAGGCTAGTCTGATCTTTTCAGTTCTTGTGCGAATAAAACTACTTTATTCCACTTTTCACCCGACGTTTCGCTAAAACTTTTTTAGCATCCTCAGGAGTAGTGTTTATTTTATCTGTTACAACAAATATACAAAAATACAAAAAAACACACACATTAAGTATTAACCGAAAAAACAAGAATGTATACATATATAACAACAAATTGAATTTAATGACAAACCAACTTACATCGTTTAGATATTCAAACATAGATATGTATATGTATAAATACTTAATCACTAAAAAAAGAAAATATATCCATACCACTTGATGTGGTAGTTTAGTCAGTACTGAAAATTTCATTTCTGTAAACAAGTTATGTATGCGGCCGCAATGTTGTCTGTATCTTCCTTCTTATTAATTGTCATTTCTCGTTTTTGCATAATTCTAAGGCTCTCTATTGTGTATCGAATCTGTTCTCTTCTTTCTTTGTCAATAATATTTGTGTTCGCGAAATCAGCTGTGTGTCCACTTGTTAAAATGTGCTGTGATAATGCTGTACTGCTTTTCCGTTTCCTTATGTCCGCTTCATGTTCGCCTAATCGAACACCTAAAGGCCGCTTCGTTGTCCCAATGTACACCTTTCCGCATGTTTCTGTTTCCTTCCCATTGCATTTAATTTCGTAGACTACGTTGTTTTGTTGGTGGACCTCCACTGGACACTTTGTTTTTGTATATATTCTCGAAAGTGTGCAATTAGATTTATATGCAAGTGCTGTGTTTTGTGTTTTTGTTATGTTATGATCAAAATTATCGGTAAGATTGGGAATGTATGTAACACTGAAGAATTTCTTTGCGCTTTTTGTTGTTTCTGAGTCCGATTGTGTGTTAGGGTGGTTGCTATGTTTTATTATTTCCTGATTTATGAGTTCGTGTATTAATTTGACAGGATAATTATTGTTTTTTAGGATGTTGGTTATTTTCTCTATATTGGCGTCATGGAACTGTGTGTGGCTTATCGTCAGTACTTTGTGGATTAAGTTTTTTGCGGTGTTAATTTTATAGTTTCTTGGTTGAGATGAGAAGTAATTTATCAGGCGTCCAGAGGAGGTTGGTTTTGAGTACCAGTCTAGAAGGAGGTTTTGCTTTTCTCGATAAATACAAACATCTAGAAATGGTATTTTTGAGTCTTTTTCAATTTCCATAGTAAATTTCAGTTTATTGTGGTATTTATTAAGAGTATCTAGAATAATATTCGCGTCATTACGTTTGATAATAGCGAAGATGTCGTCCACGTATTTTGTTACAAACTTTATGTCAATGTTAAATTTTTCTTTCAGCTCAGTGATGGTGTTGTCCAGTAGGTTGTCCATGATAATGTCAGCGATTGTTGGAGAAATTGGATTTCCCATGGGCATTCCAAATGTTTGTGCGTATAGTTTGTTGCTGAACATAAAGTAATTGTTATCCTTGAGGCAAAAGTCTATTATTTCGTGAAATTTCTTTTTTGGAATAGAAGTTTTCTGTTGAATTAGGTCCCACTTATTCATAATTATTCTCGAAGCTAATGTCGTTGGTATATTTGTGAATAGGGAAATGACATCAAACGAAACTAAAACATCTTCATCACACACATGGACGTTGGTTAACTTATCTTTAAGATTAAAAGCATTCTTGACGTTATATTTTCCTGAAATTAGACTTTGTAAAATCTCGCCGATGTATTTGGACAGTTTGTAACAGGGGACCATAATAGAAGAGACAATAGAACGAAGTGGAACTCCAGGCTTGTGTATTTTAGGCAAGCCATAAATTCTGGGCGCCGTGGCTGCAGTGCAGGTGAGTTTTAGTTTTTCCCTGAAGTTTATGTGTTTGCCTTTGTAAAGTTCGTCCACTATTTTGTTGTTTTTCCTTTGAAGAGTGTTTGTAGGATCAGTTCGTATTGATTTATATGTATTTCTGTCTTCTATTAGTTTCTTCATCTTCTCTAGGTACTCTGTTTTGTATATGACTACAGTTTTATTGCCTTTGTCGGCATCAGTTATAATAATGTTGTTTTTGTGTTTCTGGATAAACGCCTTTGCTTTATGAAATGCTGATAATATTAATTTTTCCGCTTCGTTGTGTTTTATGTTGCGTTTGAAAAGTAATATTCTATTGCTCACTTTATTTCTTGCTATTTCCTTTTCCTTATCGTTCTCTAGTGACTGTATAAGTTGCTCCATTTCTGCTATTATATGTATCGGCGAAAAGTTTGATTTTGTTGTTGGCAAAGTAAATTTTCTTCCCAGAGAGAGTATCCACTTTACCTCTTCAGGAAATTCAATAGACGTCTTGTTTTCGAACCAGCTATTGTTGGTTTTTATTCCCAATCTTCGCATTTGATGCGTTTTTAACTTGTTTAGCTTAAAGTTGAGAGCCGTTCTTTTCTTTTCTGCGATCCCATCACTGAGGAAACGTTGTTTTCTGATAAAATTATTTATTTCCAACTGATTTAAGGCGTATTTTAGTTGTTTTTGGGCATTATTTAATAGGTATTTTGTTGTTTTGATATTGATGTTGGTTTGCGTTATTTCTATATTTAAGATTTTAATTAGAAAACTCCGTTTTGTCTTTTCAATTTGTTGTTTTATCCTATCAGAGTCGGTATTTACTTCTAAGTTTTTGATTGAATTCTTCAAGTGGTTGGGGATAAGTCCATACCTTTTACATTCTAATAAGAATTTCAAATCTTCTTTCTGATTTGCTAATTTTTGATTTTGTTTGCTGTAATGTTTGAGATTAATACATGTATTCTCCCCGTATTTGTATCTCATGTGTTTGTAAAAATCCTTCATTTTGTTCCTTGTATTTTTGTTGGTGACAGGAATAAACAAAAATATCGGCAGGCCTTCCGAGATTCAAATCTATCTTTTTTGTCCGATCAGTTCAAATTTATTTTATTTTATGTTTGTAGGCTAGTCTGATCTTTTCAGTTCTTGTGCGAATAAAACTACTTTATTCCACTTTTCACCCGACGTTTCGCTAAAACTTTTTTAGCATCCTCAGGGGTAGTGTTTATTTTATCTGTTACAACAAATATACAAAAATACAAAAAAACACACACATTAAGTATTAACCGAAAAAACAAGAATGTATACATATATAACAACAAATTGAATTTAATGACAAACCAACTTACATCGTTTAGATATTCAAACATAGATATGTATATGTATAAATACTTAATCACTAAAAAAAGAAAATATGTCCATACCACTTGATGTGGTAGTTTAGTCAGTACTGAAAATTTCATTTCTGTAAACAAGTTATGTATGCGGCCGCAATGTTGTCTGTATCTTCCTTCTTATTAATTGTCATTTCTCGTTTTTGCATAATTCTAAGGCTCTCTATTGTGTATCGAATCTGTTCTCTTCTTTCTTTGTCAATAATATTTGTGTTCGCGAAATCAGCTGTGTGTCCACTTGTTAAAATGTGCTGTAAAATGTTCCTTATGTCCGCGTCATGTTCGAAATTGAAATTAATAAGAAGGAAGATACAGACAACATTGCGGCCGCATACATAACTTGTTTACAGAAATGAAATTTATAGAACTTATAGAAAAAGATTAAACAAGTATCGATTTTCAGCTAGTAAATGGCGATTTTCCTATAGCTAGAGATGGAATCCTAGGTAAGGACTTTTTAATAAATTACCTTTGTAAAGTTGACTATGAAACATTCATAATAACGATAAATATCAAAAACAAAGAATATATTTTACCAATAGAAACGAAACTACCATTAACAAAAAAGATGAGAGATTCCACCCAGAACTGAAATAATACTACCTATTAAATTAAATATACAGGAAGACAGCGTAGTCTTTAACCAAGAAATACAAAAAGGCGTATTTCGAGCAAACTCGATTGCACCTGCCAAAGATATTTCCCATGTCAAGTTAATGAACGTTAACGGTCATGCAGTCCATATTGAAAATTTAAACACACGACAGAAAAACTAAGAAATTACAATATACTGAATACAAATAGCGAAACAACTATATACAACGCTGAACGTTTCCATAGGTTGATAAAAGAATTAAAACTGAGAAACCTAGATAAAGATACAGAAACAGAACTAAAATAAATTTTCCGCAAATACCAATCGATTTATAATTTTGAAGGAGAAAAACTTTCAGTAAATAACTTTTACAACCAAAAACTTAATTTAACAGACAACGAACCGGTATACATAAAGAACTACAGACTACCACAAACCCAGCAAGAGGAAATATAAAGACAGATACAGGGAATTGTTGATAACGACATCATCGAACCGCCAGTCAGCCCATACAACTCTCCATTACTGCTAGTACCCAAAAAGAGTGACAACGACAATAAGAAATGGCGTCTAGTAGTGGATTACAGAAAATTAAATGATAAAATAGTAAATTACAAACTCCTATTTACAAGATTAGAGGACGTGTTAGATGTCTTAGGAAGAGGAAAGTATTACACAACTCTAGACATGACAAGTTCTTTTCACCAAATACCTTTACAAAACGGTTCAAGTCCACCAACAGCATTTTCCACACAAGACGGACACTACCAATTTAAACGATAGTCATTCGGATTGAAAATATCATCAAACAGTTTCCAAAGGATGTTAACAATTGCACCAAGCGGTTAAAAATCAGAAGCTTTCCTTTATGTAGATGACATCATTGTTTTTGGATGTTCTTTAAAACACTACAATAAAAACCTCTTTAAAAGTTTTTGAAAGACTAAGATATTACAACCTCAAATTAAATGCAAGCAAATGTAAATTCTTGAAATCAGAAGTCATTTATTTAGGACATTTAATAACGTAGAAAGATATCAAAACCGACCCAGCTAAATGTGAAGTAGTACGCCATTATCCAAGACCAACAAATCCAGATGAAACAAGAAGATTTATAGCATTTTTCAATTATTAATAATAATAATATAATAATAGTTTGGCGCTTACACATATGTTAGTGTTTGGCCGAGCTTCTCCTCCGATTTGTGGCGTGCGCCTTGATGTTGTCACACAAAGCGGGGGGACCTACAGTTTTACGCCGACTCCGAACGGCGATTGTATTTTTATCAGAAGCTGTTTTCATGGCAGAAATACACTCGGAGGTTTGCCATTGCCTGCCGAGGGACGACCGCTGTTAAGAAAAAACCTTTTCCTACATTTTTTGCGATGTTGCTTTGACCAGGGCTTGAACCCAGGCGTTGCGGAGTGGAAGCGCGCACTGCTTACCACTACACCACAGCGGCCAGACGTTTTATTCCAGACTTTGCACAAATCGTCAAATGTCTAAGTTCTCTGTTGAAAAAAGGAAACTCCTTCATTTGGTCTGAAGAATGCGAAAAAGCATTTAATGGTTTAAAAGAGAAGATATTTAACCCACCGATACTACAATACCCAAATTTTGACAAACCATTTATACTTACAACAGACGCGACAGACTTCGCTTTAGGAGCTATTTTATCACAAGGAGAAATAGGTCACGATTTACCAATATCATACGCAAGTAAATCATTACAAAAACATGAAATCAACAAACCCATTATAGAGAAAGAGTTATTAGCAATCCATTGGGGAATTAATTATTTTAGAATTTAACTCTATGGCAGAAAATTCAAAGTAGTAACTGACCACAGACCACTAATGTCATTGTTTTCCTACAAAATCCATCATCGAAAATTATAAGAATTAGGATAGGTTTATCAGAATATGACTTCGAAATTGTATACAAACAAGAAAAAACTAACGCATATTCATTATCACGCATCAAGTTGGACAGTGACATACTCAAATTTATGATTCCTATGAGTAAAAGTAAAAAACGATAGGAAAAGTGTTAACGTTACAACAAGGAGCAAGGCCGCAAAATTTAAAAATATTAACGAAAGGTATTAGCGCAAGAAGATACAAATACGGGTACACGCATTAACAAAGACAACACAACTTCCAAGAAGCCTGATCAACTTCACATTTGGGACTGTACATCTTTTAATGACGTATAGAAAATAAGGAAAACGAAGTTTAATATTGAAAAAGAAAGTAGTAATACAATTGAAATAATTAATAAAGAAGTGTACATAACTTGTAGCGATGACCCTTTGAATCTAGATTCAATCTTGGAGAAACTACATAGTTTACTAAGAAATTCACATATAAAGGAGCTAGCCCTTTGTGAAAAAAAATGTATATTTAAAAATATTAATATTAATGCATTCAAGAAGAATATAATGAATTGGAAATTAATGAACGCGCGCCAATAAAAATACTTATATACAAAGCTCCAAGGGAAATAGAAAGCATGATACTTAAATACAAACTGATAGACGAATTTCATTGCTCGAACGTTGCAGGTCACTTAGGAATTCGACAAACTATTTTAAAACTCAAACAAAGATATATTTGGAAAAATGTAAGACAGATAGTCAAAGAATTTATAAACAACTGCAGAAAATGCATACAAAACAAAATAGTAAGACAAACAAAAGAACCACTTGTAGTGACAGACACGCCAACGTCAACAATCGAAACTATAACGATTGACACTGTAGGCTCACTACGCATATCAAACGGCTACAGATACATATTAACAATGCTATCTGATTTATCGAAATTTGTGATAGCACACCCAATTGTAATCAAAGACGCAAAACCAATAGCAACCATTTTAGTTGAACAACTAATTCTCAAGTACGGTGTCATTAAAACTATAAATTAAGCAAAATATAAACATATAAACACACGTAAAGTATCTGCATAACTCCACTTACAAAAAATTTATTTCATCACTCAGACGAAATAAATTTTTATACCCGAGCGCACTTGTGCACAAGGGTATTATAACTTTGTTCACATAACGGTTGTTTGTAACAGCCAAAACGAATCGAGATAGATATAGACAAATGTTTACATAAATGATCAGGATGAAAAGAGAAATCGATTAAGCGGTGACTGTCTGTCCGTCCGGCTGTGCACA